AGGAAGACTGGCCCTGAGCTAACATCCATGCCCATTTCCTCCACTTTATGTGGGACGCCCCACAGCATGGCCTGACAAGCAGTGCGTCGGTGCCCGCCCAGGATCCGAACCCGGGCCGCCAGCAGCAGAGCGCTCACACTTAACCACTATGCCACGGGGCCAGCCCCGGCAATGGTTTCTTTAATAAGACACAAAAAGCACAAGCCATACAAGAAAAAATGATAAATTAGACTGCATCAAAATTGATAACTGCTTTTTGAATGACACTGTTAAGAACATGAAAATGCAAGCCGCAGACTGAAAAAAAATTGTAAAACACATATCTGATAAAAATCTTGCATCCACTATACATAAAGAACTCTCAAAATTCCATAATAAGAAAACACGCAACCCAATTAAAAACAATGGGCAGAAGATTCGCATGGATACTTCTCCAAAAAGATGTACAGATGGCAAATAAGCATGTGGAAAGATGGTAACATTAAGGCAGTCAGCCATTAGGAAAGTGAGAATTTCCATGATGAGATACCACCACAAGTTGACTAGAATGGCTAAAATGTTTAAGTCTGTCAATACCAAGTGCTGACAGAGGATGCAGAGCAGCTGAAACTCATACTTTGGTGGTGCAAAGGCAAAATATTACAGACACTTTGAAAACGTTTGGCTGTTCTTATAAAATTAAACACACTTACTATATAACCCAGCAATCCTCTTCCTAGGTATTTACCCAGGAGAAATGAAAACTTATGTTCATTCAAAAACCTGTATGTGAATATTTATAGTGGCTTTATTCATAATCACCAAAAATGAGAAACAACCCAAATGTCCTTCATCTGGTGAATCAACTGAGATAGAACCATATAATGAAATACTAGTCACCAAACAAAATTTAAGTAAACTGAAACACACAATACGGATGACTCTCAAGTGCATTGTGCTCAATGAAAGAAGCTGGACTCAAAAGGCCACATACTGTGCGATCCATTTATACAACATCCCAGAAAAGGCAGAACAAAACTACAGGACAGAAAACAAATGGGTGGGTGCTGGGCCTAGGGCGCGGGAAGGGCTGACTACTGAGGGGCATGTGGTGGTTACAAGACTGTAAGCACTTGTCAGAACTCAGAACTGTGCCCCAAAAGGGTGACATTTACTGCATGTGAGTTATTTCTCAGTCAACCTGATACTTAACGAGAAGTGTAGTCAGGTGATGAAAATGCCCATATTTGGGTATCACTACATGTGGTGAACTCTGATCTTCACCTTGGTGCTTTTTACCCATCAGTGGCCTGCAGTGTTGTCACTCGAAGGGCACCCCTTAGGTGTCATGCACAGAGGAGGCTTGGTTGAATCAGATGAGCACCGTGTCACCAGCACACGACTCCCAGCGTACGCTCCCCGACTCTGTGCAGAGGGAGGGCTTCAGTGTTTGGGGAGGTGTTGCTAAACAGAGGTAAAAGTAATAAAAAGTGTCCAGGTGAAGAGCAAGCACAGAGGCACGTTTACTCTCACTTCATGTCATCAGAACGTGCTTTGTTTCTGGGTAGAAACTGACAGAGCTTGGCTCTGGGAATTTAGCATTGAGTTAATGAGCCTTTCTGGGGTTCCTCTCCCCTTTTGCCTTTGTCAAGTCTTTTCCAATCTTGATAGCCATGTACTTGTTTCGTATTTTATCCTGGGCACCTTGAACCTCTTTAAATTCAGAGGTATTGAAAGTAAGACTCAGCCCTATGATTCACAAATTCGTCGTATGAGGATTTACTCCGTGTGGAAAAGCCCCAGGTTGCTGCTGTCTGTCAGGCTTCTGCAGACCCTCTCATCTTCCTTTGTTCCTGAGCCCCAGGTTGCCCCAGCGACAGGCAAGGAGCTGAGGGAGATGCGCCTCATCGCTTTCGGCCGCTGTGTCTCCGTGGGAGGCTTCAAAATCGTAATTGGTTTCTGTCTGAGTAGGAGCCAGGAGGTGTGGAATGGACAGCATGTCATGATCCTCATCATGTAACACTGTCCCCCACGCCCACGTCCCTCCAGCTCTGTGTAGAAGATAGCTCAGCAGAAGCTGGGTCTGGGCTTTTGTTTACTCAGAAGCTATTATTCAGCTGCAGGGAAATAGGTGGAGAGGGGGAGACAGCGGAATGGATGATGAAGACGACTGTTAAATGGGAAATGACCTACCGAGTGGCTCCATTTGGTCCCTCCATCCTGAGTGGCAGTTGTCACGGCCCAGCGGTCTGATGCCTGCTGCCTTTTCACGGCATCTTCTCTCTCTTCCTTCTCCTTGTCTCTCTCCATCCGCCCACCATCAGCTCTGCCTTTCACGCTGTACCTGCCGCCCTCCATTCCTCCCAGTGGTTCTTAGCACATGGTCCCAGTTCAGAGCATTGGTCCAGTTCGGTTCTGAAAGTCCTTTTGTGAGCACAGCGGGGCCTATGAGGGAAGGCTCAGTGGGTGCCCCCGGTGCTGCTCCCCGGGGAGTGCCATGCTCTGCTTCTTAGAACTTAGCACAGGGGAGCTGACAGCCCCTGGCTATGAAGCACAGGTCCTGTGGTCCGTCTGTGTGAGACACCCAAGCTGCCTGCATGCCCTACACCACCACACGCACTCTTCCCCCTGTCCTCGCAGTCATTGCCTGTTTCCTTTGGAGCCTCCCAAGTCTGCCCCGCCTTCCGATTCTTCACTGGCAGTCCCAGAACTTAGTGCCTGTCCTGTCCCTCCCCCTTCAGAGTCTTTCAGACCTCTTCCTCTAATTTACTCCCACAGAAACCAGAGTTCCACTAACGTGCAATGTCTCAATTCTTGCACGTGCTCTGAGTCTTTTACCTGGGATTTTCCTCTTCTTCTTGCTCTACGTTGTCAGTCATTTGTCATTTCTGATCAGCTCTGGATTGTCATAAACTGAAACCAACTGTTAAAAACCACAGTTGAAACCATGTCCCATCGTGGGGTTGTTTCTAAACCACTAAACGTTCTGTGGAGGGATTGGACACCTTTTCTTCTTCTTCTTCTTTTTTTTTTTTTTTTTGAGGAAGATTGACCCTGAGCTAACATCTGTTGCCAATCTTCCTCCTTTTTTCCCTTTTTTTCCCTCCCCAAAGCCCCAGTAGATAGTTGTATGTCATAGTTGTACATCCTCCTTGTTGCTCTGTGTGGGATGCCGCCTCAGCATGGCTTGATGAGCCGTGCGTAGGTCCATGCCCAGGATCCTAACCAGCAAACACCGGGCTGCCCAAGCGGAATGCAAGAACTTAACTGCTCTGCCACTGGGCCAGCCACAACACCTTTTCTTCTTGTTGGCTCGTGTTTGGGTGTCCTTGTTGTTGTTTTGGTGGGTGTGGTTTTTGTGATTTATAAGAAAAAAACCTTGCATAGCAATAAAAAGCTGGAAAACAGACCTCCAGGTCCCCTGTGCGTGAGCACCAGGAGTGACATTTGGGGTTGTTTGTTTTTGCTTCGTAATCAAAGATAACATAAAGTGTTCAAGGAGGAAACACAAAAATGTCCTGTTAGCATTTTCACATAATAACCACCTAAAAGGTGACCAAAACTCTTGTCCATGTGGAAATTACCTCTTCTCAGCCACATGCGTGTTACCACGTTCACTGTTCTTCATCCCAACACTTCTCTAGCAGAGAAGACAATTTTACTGCATATGGGCCCTCTCTGCCTAACTGGTGTTCTCTGGCTAATAGATGGCAGGTTACAGCAAGCTGTGCTGTCTCAACTCTCGGCCGAGCGGAAGTAGGGTTTTTTCTAATTTAGTTAATTTCTTTTGTATTTTGGAACTTTACAACTCTGAGTTTCAAGTAGGGAATCAGAGTCAGCCAAATTTACTTGATGAAATGTATCATTAAGGAAATACATCTTTATTACATAAACAAGTGGTTATATGTCTGAATTTTTTACATCTGAATGAAGTAGACTTAAATCCCAGCTTATTATTTCCTAAGTGTAGACCTCTCTTAGACACTGGTTTTGCACACCTATCTGTAGCCACAACCCGCATGCACACATGTGCACACACACAGACCATGAAGCAAGAAAGACCTTGCTGAAGGAGTAGAGAAAGGGCAATTTGTCTGACATTCCAGCATCCACGTATTTCCAGGGGAGATACGCTCAGTCTCTCTGAAGCTGTGCTCATCAAGGAGGGCAGCAGAGTTCTCTTGAGGGCAGCAGAGATGGCTTGAAGTGACCCAGGTTTGCAGCACAGCTCTTTCCTAACTTTCCAGCCCCGTGGAGTGCTGGGCAATAGCTCCCTAGAAGGACCCGGCGCCCTCTCAGGACCCAGCCTGCCTTTCACGCAGCCACAGAGCAGCCTTGCTCTGCTTGTCACTTCTGTCACTTCTCATAAGCTCATTTGTCCTCTAACCAGATGCCCCAGTTCCCTTTGACATCAAAGAAAGAATAAATGCAGGGTCTCTGATCATGCCCCATCTTTTTCTGGTTTTGCATTTTAAACCTGTGAAGTATCGGCTCAGCCCAGTGTCTGGCATGGGCCACTGTGTCCCCTCCTGCAGAAAACACGCCTGAGTCCTTACTCCTGAACCTCGCCTCTCGAAAGCACCTTGTCTGCTTTGAAAGCGGCCACCCTGTTGCTCCTTGTCAGAACTCAGTGGCAGCCCTCAGCTTCCGAGGTTGGGCCTTGAGGAGCAGGACAACGTGTGACCCTCAGAGATCTGGGGTGTTTGCTAAGTCTCCTCTCCGTCAGCCTCGCACAAGGCCAGCCAGCCCTCCACTGGGTCTGAGCCCTCAGAGCCTCCAACTCCGGGGGCCAGCAGAGGGAGGGCAGCCAGGTGCTCCCCGGAAGGCCAGGGGAGAGGCAGGGTGTGCTATGGGGACTCAGTTACCGATGCTCTGCTCTGTACCTGTCAGTGGGGCATTGGGCACTCTGGCCAGACCAGAGCACCCAGATTCTTCAACATTTGGGGAAGAGGAGTCTTTTTATCTGGAAAATAATTATTTTTTAGTTCCTGGACTTAATTTGGTGTTTTTTATTGTTGAAGATCCCGGAAGAGCATGACCTGGAGAGTCAGATCCGCAAGGAGCGGGAATGGCGATTTCTACGCAACACCCGCGTCAGAAAGCAGGCGCAGCAGCTCATCCAGAAGGGTAAGCAGCATCCCCAGCTGTCCCCACAGCTCCATCATGAAAGAGAGGGGCCTCTGCCAGCCCTCGGTGATCAGGCCACTCCCCCCTACACACCCGCGAACTGAACGGTCTCCTTGGTGCTGGATGCAGTCCTTCCTCAAGGCTGTGGGAGGGGAGGGTTGGGGAAGGGAGCTAGGAGGGGAGCCGGCATGGGGGTGGGTGGTGCGGAGGTCGGGAAGCACCTACCTGGGCTGTGGAAGCCCACCCGCCTCAGGGAAGGCCTGGTCTAAGGAGAGGAGCCGCCCAGGCTCTTGTATCCTTGCTCTCAGGAGATTCAGAAGCCCTCTGGGATTATTGCCCAAGGGAAGCTCCCATCTGTCTGTCTGTCTGTGCGACCTCTTGGACAAGCACGGCTTCTGCATTTTGACATTTCCAGAGGAGAAGGAACAAGCCCTCTGCAGGTCCTAGAAGTCCGCGATAGAGTGGGCCCTGTGCTCTGCCCCTGGGGACAGAAGACAAAATACAAGGCCCTGGTTGTGTTCACTTGGCCCCCACCTGTCCTCAAAATAATCGCTGTCTCTGTCATCCAAAGCCGTATGTCAGGGCCGGCCCCGTGGCTTGGCGGTTAAGTGCGCGCGCTCCGCTGCTGGCGGCCTGGGTTCGGATCCCGGGCGCGCACTGACGCACCGCTTGTCTGGCCATGCTGAGGCCGTGTCCCACATACAGCAACTAGAAGGATGTGCAGCTATGACATACAACTATCTACTGGGGCTTTGGGGGGAAAAATAAATAAATAAAATTAAAAAAAGAAGCTGTATGTCAGTCACATTTTCACCAAACCTTTTACCAAATTTGCCAACAGATGCTAAAACTACCCCCTTTGCATGCTTCTCAGCCTCACCCAGTGTGAAGTGGCGATGAGCAGCCGAGGACACAGTGTGTGCCCCCGAGGCACTGAAGCAGGGAGGGAGGGGGGCAGCACAGGCCTCTGTTGTGTGGTCAGGACAGGGATGAGGGCAGCCTTGCCCCAGGGACACCAGACAGAGCCTGTCTCCTCTTCTCACTCTCTGGGAGCGTGGGTCAGCCATAAAGACCCGGCTCCCACCCCAGGGAGCTGACCCAGTCCCTTGAGTGTACAGAGAAGTAGGACGGTCTCACACCTCTGACTGAGTGGCCTACGAGGCCTTAATCACGGAGCTGGCTTTGGGCGATGGACCTAACACTGCCCACGTTCCTGCACAGAGTGGATGATCAGGCTCTTAACTAATCTGTTGATTTGCTATTTTGACTGTACATCCCTGTCCTGTAAAATTCTGAAGGTTATTACAGGTTACTTTTTTTTTTTTTTCTTTTCCCCCAAAGCCCCAGTAGATAGTTGTATGTCATAGCTGCACATCCTTCTAGTTACTGTATGTGGGATGCGGCCTCAGCATGGCCAGAGAAGCGGTGCGTCAGTGGGCGCCCGGGATCCGAACCCGGGCTACCAGTAGCGGAGCGTGCGCACTTAACTGCTAAGCCACGGGGCCGGCCCTATTACAGGTTACTTTTTAAAGCTGGGGGTGAGGACCCATGAGACTGTCCCTCCCACTGAAGCAGAAGGGCCCACCTGTAGACAGCGGGGGCATCAGGGTCTCCTCCTTAGCAAGCCTGCCAAGGCTTGGCACACTCCTTTGCCCCACTGAGCGCCACAAATGACTGTTTCCTTCCAGAAGCCAGTGATATGTCTGAAGCACTTCTGTGTACTTCCATCTGCGTTCAGAGCTCTCCCTGTAAAGTGCCTTGGGGTCATGTTTCATTAATGCGCATAGTCACTTCTGCTGAAAACTAATCTTGGTTGTTTATAACTCTTTGTGCCTCCGTGAAGGAGCTGTTGGGAGCTAGAGTTAAAGCACTCCGGTGTTTTGGAATTCAGCGTCTGCTGCCCCAGCCATCCCCACTCAAACATGGGCAGCCAGGGCGGCCGGCGCCTCCAAAGCTTTCTTCAGGAGGAGAGAACAGCTGCCCTGCTTGACAGGAGCTCTCAGAATTTCAGCATCAGGAGGCTGTTTTTTGGGAGGTTTGTAGTTCTTCAGGACCCCAGGCCCACTTGCTGGGACAGCAGGACAGATTGGTTTCCCTGTACCAGTGAGAGGCCTGGCAGCTGAGTTTGCCAACCACGGTTAGACATCTGAAGGCAAACTGAACGGGACAGTGAAGGCCACACTCTGGGCTGGCGTTTCTGGTCGGCATTGAGCAGGGAGTGAAATTAGAGCCAGGCTTTTGAGAAACAACTGCGTTTTCTAGACAAAAACAAAAAAATATCTTTGTAAACCAGAGTCAGGGGTTCTCTTTTCCAGTCTTTGTGGAAAAAAAGAGCAAGATCTGCTTGTCAAAAACACCCTAAGAAGAGCTACTGAACTGCTGGAGACATTAGCCAATGAGATTGCAAAATGGAAAAATCAATGTAAACGGAGATAGCAATGAGAGGATCGGAACATTAATGACCCACCACACCCTCTTCGAGTAACTGCCACGCTCAGAATCTGGATTCAGCGTGAAGTTTTGTTTTTATTTGAGAGGCAGCTGACTACTGGGAAAGATGTAATGATGAGAAGGAGGGGAAATCATGCCTGTAGGTTGAGCAGTTACCGGACAAGTAATCGTGGGCCAGGAGACGAGACCTGGCAAAGTAAGTGTCAGTTTTTCTTAGTCCCTGCCCTGCTGCAGCCACCCACCCCATGACAGTCAGGACCTCGGCCAGTGGCATGCACCCACATCTGCATATATGCAAAATGCATTCGCTGACTTAAGAATCTGGGCGTTCCCTTTATCTTAATGGTGGAAATGATGCCTGCTATCTTGGCTCTCTCCAAAGAAACCTGTAACTAAGGGTGAAGGCCTCTAAGGGAACACAGTGCTGCTGCCACTGTTAAAACCTCTGGGGCCTCAGCAGCATGCATAGTGGTTACATGCGTACACACCACTTCAGCGGCCTGGGTTTTGCAGGTTCGGATCCTGGGCGCAGACCGACGCACCGTTTGTGAAGCCATGCTGTGGCGGCATCCCATATAAAGTAGAGGAAGATGGACATTGATGTTAGCCCAGGACCAGTCTTCCTCAGCAAAAAGAGAAGGATTGGCATTGGATGTTAGCTCAGGGCTAATTTTCCTCACCAAAAAAAAAAAAAAAAAAACACCTCTGGGGCCTGTTGGCCTGTTGGTTTAACCCTGTCCTTATCATCAAGTGGTTTTCAGGGTTTGCTGTTTTAACAAAGGGAGGAGCTGGAGGACTGGAATCACTGGTGACGAGCACCTTATCCCTCTTGGCCCCCAGCACGGTGATGAGTAGAAGCTTTTCTTTGCCTCTCTCAAGACCTGCATTCGTGGCCAATGAGAAGTTTGCAATCTCTGAAGACCCTCCTGGGTTACTTGGGGACCCGTCCAGCCGCTGAGGCCAAGAGCATTAGGGACGCTGCTTACCTTCGCCCTCCGTGACCTTGCAGGGAAGGGGGGACTCATGCACTGGCTGCTCTGAATCAGCCGGATGTCATTCACCAGAAGTGTGTCTAAACCCATCTTGATGCTGTTTGCATTCTTAGCCTCCTTTCTTCTAGAACAAACTCTTGCAGAGCCAGGAGGGATTTATTTCCTGGTGCTGGTATTTGGGGACCTGGTGAATAAGCCCGCACTCACCTCCTCTGTGCAGTCTGTGGTATCTGCCCTCAGTCATGTAACTGCGTTGTGGACTGCGGCTGGATTGCGGACAATGATGGCTGTACTGATGTTTCAACCTGGATCTGGGTTACAAGTCACAGCCTTACTGAGCTTTATTCTGAAATCTTCAGCACTTTCTTCATAAAATCATAACCAGATTGCACTCATCTGAAGAGTGCTGATGTGCTGTCTCAATGTACGAGTTCACATGCGCTGATTAAAAACTTGTAGCGCGTCCAGGTAGTGCTGGGAACCGGGGGGCGTCCAAGCAAACGCAGGGGCCCTGTGGCCAGGGAGCCAGGGCCCCTCCTCTGACCCCTGCTTTCCTTCTGTTTCCTCTCCAGGTCCCCAAACATGCGGTATTGGCGTCGGCCTTGGTAAAAATATGTCATCAGGGCCGGCCCAGTGGTGCAGCGGTTAAGTGCACGTGCTCCACTGAGGCAGCCTGGGGTTCGCCGGTCGCCGGTTCAAATCCTGGGCGTGCACCAACGCACTGCTTGTTAAGCCATGCTGTGGCGGCGTCCCATATAAAGTAGAGGAAGATGGGAATGGATGTTAGCCCAGGGCCAGTCTTCCTCAGCAAAAAGAGGAGGATTGGCATCAGATGTTAGCTCAGGGCTGATCTTCCTCACCAAAAAAAAAAAAAAAGTCATCGATATTTATTGTAAATTAAGCCCCATTGTTGTGTGTCCCTTTGGCAGGTATCACGAGACTGGATGACCAGATATTTCTGAACAGGAACCCTGGCGTCCCCTCCGTGGTCAAGTTTCACCCCTTTACACCATGTGTGGCTGTAGCTGACAAAGACAGCATCTGGTAGGCACGCACTGGTCAGGACTTGCATTTCAGCTGGTTTACAGTTAGCCTTCCTCCACACAGTGTAGACAGCACGCCTCCTTCACCTCCCACACGGTACTCGCCCTTGAAGCCCTTTGGGCTGTTGCAGGTGGAAAGGGCTCAAGAAATGGCCCTTTTCTCCTGGCCTAATGTGGCTGCACTCCTCGCCCAGTGCTGCACTCTTGCCCATTACTGAAGGTGGTCCAGAGCCCTGGCCACGGTCCATGTGCGGGGCGGTGACGGGAGCTTCTGGTATTAAGAGGAGGCTGTTCCCGAGTCACGTGTACTGACAGAGCACCTGTGGGCTCGTCAGGACCACATTGTGACAGAGACACGGACAACGGGCTTGCTCTTGTTGCCGCCTCTGCAGAAGCAGGTGTGATGGGAAAGCGCTAACTAGATGGGTTTAATTTATAGCAAGCATTGCCCGTACGCCCTGGAGAGAGTACTCACTCAACGGAGGAGGGCAGAAGGGTAAATCTTTGTATAGCTTATAAAATGAATGTAGTTCTTACCTCTATTTCTTATTTCTCTCTTTTTTATTGTGCTAAAATTTACAGAACACAGAAAATTTACCATCTTAACCGTTTTTAAGTGTACAGTTCAGTGACATTAGATACATTCACATGGTTGTGAGCTTTATTCCTCTCTTATCCCCTTAAGTTTTTGGGACTGGGAGAAAGGGGAGAAGCTGGATTATTTCCACAATGGAAACCCTCGGTACACAAGGGTCACCGCCATGGAGTATCTGAACGGCCAGGACTGCTCACTCCTGCTCACGGCCACAGGTGAGTGGGATTGGCGTGGCCAGGGCCCTAAACCCAGATGCAGAGATGTCAGGGGACAGATGCGAGACCCCAGCACGTGTTTGTACAAAGTTTCCTTTGACTCTGACCATTTCTTCTTGCACAGGGGACTGCTCGTAAGTGAAGGCCACTGGCATTAAGGCATGACGAGGTTTCTGAGGGAAAGGGCTTCACCCACAAACGACGGCGGAGGGCAGAGGGACCAGCATCAGTCAGTGTCCTGGGGGCTGTGTCTCCTTCTCTGTCTCAGGGGACACCAGAGAATGAGGGAGGCAGGCCCCACCATGACGTGCGCGGGGGTTCCAGCCCATCACTGGTGGCTGTGCCCCTTCCTCTCCAGGTCGGGCTCCCTCTTCCTGGAGGACGGCCTTAGATCCTTTAGCAATGGCTTGGGAGTGGTGGAGCTCATGCTTCGTTTTTTGGTCTGAAATGTCATCATTTCACCCTCGCTCTTGAACAATAGCTTTCCAAGTAAGCCACCCTCGCGTAACAGTAATTTTCCTTTAGTGTTTAAAAATATGATTCCACAGTTTCTTGGTGATGAGAAGTCACTGTCCATCTAACTGTGCTTCCTTCAGAGATGACAGACGTGGTGAGGGAGGTGGGCAGGGAGCAGGGGAGCACCAGGTGAGAGGGAGAGAAGATGTCTGGCCTCACTTCCCATGTTACCCCAGTTCTATCCTGTCCTGCCCTGGTCTGTCCTATCCTGCCCTGGTCCTGCTCCTGTCCTGTCCTGATCCTGTCCTGTCCTGTCCGGTCCTGTCCTGGTCCTCTCCTGTCCTGTCCTGGTCCTGTCCTAGTCCTGTCCTGGTCCTGGTCCTGTCCTGTCCTGTCCTGGTCCTGTCCTG